AACCAGCAGTTGCAATCATTTTTATATGACACAAAGATGGTAGCAACCATCATCAAAAGTTGCAGCTGGTATCCTTATATGCTTTATATTTTTTTATTGGACTTGTCATGAACTGGTAACTGAAATTTGCTTGCTTGTACCATCATGTGGTTTTGCTTCCTAAGTTTAAAACACAAGACATGGTCAAAAAATGTGGTTCTAGAAAAATCCACTCTGAAACTGCAAGACAAATGTTGACTGGCCACATTATCATTTTTGCCAATATTTGCTCCACAAATCCCATAAGTACCCTTGGTTCAAAGTCATCATTTGCACTGAGAAATACACTAGCAAAACATGCAGATGTTGTGGAGTTATCAAGTTTAGGGACCTTTAATTGTACACCTTTCAAATCCATCATTAATAGAGATGTAAATGGAGCTTGTAATATACTTTTATACTTTTGAAATACATTAAGAAAAACAACAAGAGTCATTCACAATGTTGGAGCTTACACATAGACACCTTATTATATGTAAGCTGTCTATGTTTTTTAGTATTAGTGCAGATTCAAATGTAATTTTAATGAATTAATTGTGTAATAAAAACATGTGATACTAAAATTACTAAAAATTACTTTTTTTTTTTGTGATGATACCATTTCAGTGCTTAACTGTTGAAGGAAAATCTATTTGGGAAAAGGCAATTGATTGCGAAAAAAGAAAAGTAATACTGATATATGTAATAAAAATTATCATTGATAAAATTTTGTAAATAACAATTACAAAAATTTTTTTTAAGTCAATAATTTATTCTTGGGAATCAATTGGAAAAATCAAAGAATTTCAAACTCCTTCATCAAAATATTTAACAGAATCAGATATTTATACATTTGAAACCATTATCTTTAAACATTTTCATGATCAATTTTCAAATTATGGATTAGGAAACACCAAATCATATAATAATTTGATCAAAGTAAGTTGGATTAAGTGGGATGGATTTGGAGGATCAATTGGAAGAATATTAATAAATTTTATTTATCTAATATTAGGATTTAATAAATTTAATGTTAGGAATTCCTTCAGAAACATTTATTTATGACAAAGGATTAAAAAAATTTGTTAACAAAATACCTGACATTAGAAGTGAAGGTTATAGTGCTAAAAGTATGAAAATGTAAGTTATAAATCTTATTATTAGCATTAAGATTTGAATATTTGTTTCATTTATTCATTTTAATCAATATATATTTTCTTTTAAAAAAGGATTTTATTAAGATTTTCAAACATCGGAACACATATAAAAAGATTAGAAAATGTCGCAGAAAAATGTATCAATAATCCACAGTAGGTTGACATTAAAAAAAAATTTTTTTGCCAAATCAATTTTAAAATCAATTAATTAAACATTATTTAATAATATATTTAGTTTTTATGGTTTGACTGGTGTGGCTTTTGGGAGAAGCCTTGATTGTTTCACTTCTTTTATAAGAACTTCAATTCTTGTTAGGATAGAAAAATCTATAATAAATGATGATCAAATCAAAATCATTCAATTATATCATTTAATGGATGAAACTTCAATCATACTTGAAATAATTGCCAGATTCTGTAAATGTGTATGCTACATTATTATTTTAATGTTATTATTTTAAGGTTAATAATAATAATATTATTATTTATATTTTTTGTAGGATGTATCTGAACAACATCTTTTATTATTACCTGAAATTCAACAAGAACAATGGATGGATCAAGGATTCTATTTACCATTTGGAAATGATATTCTATCAGAAATCTATAATTTTATAGAATTAATTGATATATCTGGATCATTGTTTCTGAAATCAGTTTTTCTTGCATTCTTAGAACAATCTAGTTGTCCCTTCTTTGAAATGTTAAGTTCTTGGTTAGGTATAAATACAAGTTCAAATGATAACATCAATAATGACAATGACAATAATAACTATTCTTTGTTAAGTGAAATTCTTGGTGATCAATATTGTGACCCATATGGTGAATTTTTCATTGAAGTCAAATCTTGTGTTGTTCAAGATGAAAAATATTGGGAAACTGGAACAAATGTAAAGTTATAATTATAATTACATAATAATATATATACTTTTAATTAATTTCTCATCACACATAATATATATAAAATTTAAGATAAATAGAAATCATTCATTGCCAATTTTCATTGATTCTGATGTTGCAAGAGATATTTTAGAAGCTGGGAAATCACTTAGACTTTTACGAGATTGTTACCCAAATCATGCTTTATGTTATCTTGGAATGAAATCTCATGATCAAAAAAGCAACACAACTTCATCAACATTATGGAGTGTCAATTTGAAATGGATTTTTACACAAGGAGAAATTGACGAGTAGGTGAAAGTCTATAATTATATGATTTTTGATAGTTTTTTCTTTCAATAAATATTATAACATTATAATTATTCAACTATTTTTTAATAAACAAAAAGTATGCATGATCATCTTCGAAACTACTTGAAAGATAAGACTTTTGAAATCCTTGCTCAACAAAAACAGAGAAAGATTGATCATCTTCCAATTAATAAAACTAATAGCTTATTTCAGAAGCAGCAACTAAATCAACAACAGCATCATAATCACCACCAGTGTCATTTCAATTCTAATTCTAATCCTATCAATCACTCAAAAGTAGAAAAAAAGGGTTCAAATAATTATACAAGCAAAACATTAGTATTTGACATAATCTCAAACAAAGAAAATCCAACAATAACCTTAATAGAGCATTTTATTGAAACTCAATCATCTCAAAAATCCTATAAACAATACGTTCCTCCTTTAGGCGTGATAAAAGATCTTGTTATAAGACACACTCTTTTATCCTATTGTCAATTGTTAAATTCTTCAATTCTTTCTGTATTTTTTCAAGAATATAATCTTTGCGCACATTTTAAAGTTTTAAAAGACTTTATGCTCATGGGGAATGGTAAATTTGTTCAAGGATTGAATGATGCTCTTTTTAGTGATAATGTTGATTACGGTGAAAAATTTTATGACACCAATTATTCATCATTACTACAATCTCCAATTAATGCATGGGCCAAGGTTAATAACCTGGACGATTTACTTATGTTTTCCATAAAAAAATCAGATGATTATGAATCATGCAATGATCCTCATGGTAAGCTGCATCATTAACTTTACACACATGCACATATATATATGTTCTAGTATCAAAATTAATCGTATATATCATTTAATAGTAGAGGCTCTTGACTTCCTTCAACTGGAATATAAACCGCCATATCCAGTCAACATCATAATATCGTCAAATGTGCTCGACAACTATTATAAAAAGATTTTCACGCTTTTATTACGTATTTTACGTATGGGATCCGTTGTACGACATATTTTTAAATTATCTCATAATCGCTACTTATATTACGACGATGCCAATAATGATTACAATGATAGCAAGTTGATTCATATTTTTTGTTTCCGATCACAACAATTTATTGCCGCTTTAAATGACTATGTTTTTGACATTGTTATTTCTTCCACATGGTCAACTTTAATGAAAAGATTGAATAAAATTGCAAAAGCATCAAAATTTGAGTCACCACAATCGCCACAATCACATAAAGAATTTTGTGAAAACGTTAACATGGATATTGATGCCAATAATGAAGAATTAACATCAAAAATTAATCCTGATTCTGATATATACGTTAACAATAATGACGATGACGATGACGACGATAATGGTGTCAGCAGCATTAGTAACAGTGAATATGCTATTAAAGATCTTGAATCATTACGTTCATACCATGAACATATTTTAGATTGTATATTATTTCAATGTTTTCTTAAAGAGGATCAAGAACATATAATAAAAGATTTAAATGAAATCCTATCAGTCATTTTATCATTTGCTAGAACGTTACGACATAGAAGGTTTCGTAATTACAGTGAACAACAGAAACAAGAATATTGGAGCACAATTAACTCTTTATATGAAAAATTTATATTATATACATCGAATTTTGTAAATACATTAAAGTCATTGGATGAAAAAGGTAAAAAACTGATAATAAATATTAATAATAATTTATCTCTTAACTTATTTATAAAATTAATTCTAATATTATTAGGAACTAGATACTCGGATTTTTATTTTCAATTACTTGTCAGTAAAATTGCTAGAAATTAATTATTTCCAAATTTGCAAATTTAATGAAAATAATATTAAATAAGATTTCAATTCAATAACAATAAAAATAATAAATAAATTCATATTGTTAACAAACAGTTCTATGTGTTGAGGTTTTTACTTGAAAAATGATTGAATTGATGAATTAATGAATTAATGAATGTATTTATCATAGAAGTATCTAATTTATTCTATGAGTATAAACAAATAGGATTATACGTGTGTAGGTGTACATTTTATTAAGCTTGGGTAAAGTAGTTTTGTGCAGTTTTGACCTTTTCACGGACATCTAAATTCTCATCAGTAGCCATATTTTTTACTTTTTCATCAAATCCTAACTGGCGTAATTTTTGTATTCGTGGTATGGAACCTGTATTATCATAAAATTGAAAAAAAAAAAAATGTATACATACATTATATATAAATCGATAAATCGGTTCAATTGTACTAATCAATTCAACTATTTACAATTCTGATTGTCCTCCATTCGCATCAAATTAATGAGACATAAAACAGTTACTACACGTATATCAGGATTGTTATGTTCCATAAAACATAAAACGCGTTTTAATATCGTAGGCCTTTCCATAATAGATGATCTGTGTCGTTCACTACCAGTTGCAATGTGACTAATAACAAATAATATCTGCAAGATCATTATAATTCGCAATAGTTATTTACAAATCACAAATAAGCTTATTCATTTAATTATTTATTAAAAAAAAACCTGTTTAATGATCTCTTCACTGTCCGAACATAATTTGTTTTCTATAATATTCATTAACTGGGTTTCACCCAATCCTTTAAACGCTTCTTCAATATCCTAAATAATATGCCAGTTAAATGTCATTCATTTAATATCAACAATTAAAGTAGAATCACTTACATAAATCCTTGAACACGCCAGATTCCTTAAAAGATTTAGTGCTTGTTCTTGTATGTCAACTTCTGGATCGGAAATTAATCTAAATCACAATAAGGAATACATACATGCATACATAAATATAAATATAGATATTTTGTCTCGTAAACATCAATTTATTTTAAAAATTACTTACGCTTCCATTTTTGTATATGTTAAAGCCTTCATGACCGCATCTTTAATTTCTGATTCACAATGATAAACTAAATTTTTTAATGCCCATACTGCATTGAGTCTTAACGTATTGTCAGGTGAATGTGCAAGTTCGACAAGTTTTTCTATTGCACCTTGCTCCAAAACTATCTGATAATAAATAATTAAATAAATTTTAGTAATTTATTTAATTGTTTATTCTAAATAATTATATGATTTATGTACTACTTTTTTCATCGGAGAAAATTCCAACACTATATTACAAAGGGTAGCGCATGCAGTTGTCTGTACGTCTGTAGATTCATCTGATAATAACTTTTATTTATCAAGAACATGTCAGTAAGATATTTTTCTTTTGATATGTTTTTGGTTTTTAGATAATAAAATAAAAATACGTTAGTGCGAGGGTTGACTTACTTTAAACAATGGTGTGGCAATCCCCGCATCCACAAGACTAGTTCGTAACATGCTGATAGACCTAGATAGGCTTCTTGCACATTGACATGCTGCAGCGCGAATCCCATAAGAATGATGTGACATGGCTGTTATAATATGTGGAATAATTTTTGCTTCGACTACCTGAAAAATGTCAAATCACAATTAAAAAATTTATTCAAAATATTACTGAAAATTCAAGTTCTATGTATGCATATACAAATAAATATATATTATTTACCAATTTACGTCCATCATCTGATAATATGCTTATAGCTGCAAGAGCCATTAGAGCATTCTATATTTTGAGCACACTTAATATTAAATATTTAAAAAGGTATTTAACCTATATATGTATATGTGTGTGTATATATATATACCTCTTTTAACTTATCGCCATCATTAACGGAATCATAATACGAATGATCTTTGTCAGAAAAAGGTATAATAAAATTTGCTAGTTTTGAAACTGCATCACAATCGCACGCCGCCTTTTGTAATTTTTCACTATCACGTATTAAACATGCTAAATTAAAAAAATTAATAATATTATCCATAAAAGTCTTGAAGTCTTAAAAATTTTTTTTAATAAGTTAATTAATTATTACCTAAAACATGAGGTGCTTCTTCACGAACCGAAGTTTTCTCGTCAAGTAACTTGACTAAAGTTGGTAAAACTGTTGAAATTATATCATTAGAATATTCAATTATAGTGTTTGTACGATTTAAATGTGTTATGCTGATTAGTTAATTGTTTAATAATTATAATCATATGATTACCGGTTAGTTCAAAGTTGATGAGTTAATAATAATTGACTGTTTTTATCGAAACAAAATTGAATTACCATTTTGCAGATGTCAATCGCATTGTTGGTGATTTGTCACCGACTAATTTCAACATTATTCTTACAGGGGCTTCATTTCTTTCGGCTATTTGATTTATGAAATAATTAAAAAATAATAAATTTCATGCATTAAAAGTACTAAAAAAGTTAACGTTTTAAATTTTACTTTTAGCTTCAACTATGTTTTTGCAGAATTCGGGATTTTCTCTACAAAGGTATGCAAGCGCATCCAAAGCTGCTTCTTGTGCTTTAGGAATGGAACAAGTTAATAGATTTATCAAAGGTCGTAAAGCATTTGCATTTGCAATTTGATTTTGTTGTTCATTGGTATCACAACAACGTGCAATTATTGTTGCTGCCAATTCAGCAGTATGTATTGCAGCAACCTTCTCACGATCTGTTTTTGGATTAAGTGAGTCGGGATTAAGAAGTGCAATAAGGTTATTTAAATAACAGTCCTGTTTTTTTATTTTTTTTATTTTTGAGAAAAAAAATGAAATAATGATTAGTTTTTATTCAAATAGTAGAGTGATTAATTAATAATAAAAAACATCTAAAAACCTGAAAAATGTCATTTTTATCCGCCACAGGACTTTTATAAATTACTTTTAATGTTCTAGCAGCAGCTTCAATTAGTCGTGGATCTTTTTGTAAAGATAAACAATCCAATAATGGTTTAACAGCATCATGCTTAATTAACTCTGACACATTCTCCTCGCCTCCTTATTATTATTTATAAATAAAAATTTTAATATCAAAGATCTATTAGAAAAAAAAAGTACAAATAACGTAACCTCACTAAAATAATTTACCATATGCAAAACTTCCTAAAACAATAACTGCTTGTATTTGAATTTGAGGATCGGTGGTTTTAAATTCAAAAAATTTGACAAGCCTAAATTTTTTAAATAATGGTATAATTATCAAAATAAAAATTTTTTTTTTAAAAAACCAATAGTAAAATTACAAACTTTGAAATGACATTAAGACGAATATATAAATCTTTTTTTGTTTTGTTTCCAATGATTTTATTTTTAATAAATCGTAAAGCCTTAATTCTTACTAAAGGATCTAGTGAACTCAATTCTACGACAGCTTGTTCATGTCTTGTTGAATTCATCATAAAATTTTGGTTGTTTTTTTTTGATCTCGAGTTGGTAATAAAAATTTTTTCTAAATAAATAAAAATTAAAATAGTTGTAATTTTGTGGCTTAAAATTATTTCTCGAAGGTTGGATTTAAAATGTTTATAAATTTACTTTCACATTCTACAAAGCTATCAAATTTTAACAATAAAAGGCTTCTAATTCGTTATTTTAATACTGATTTTTTGAACTTGAAACAAGTAACCCCAATTTCCACCGAGCTAAAAAAGTTTAAAACAACACCTCTTTTCATTAACGGGGAATTAATAGAGTCGAAAACAACCAAATGGAATCCGATTTATAATCCAGTACGGAATAATGACAATAATAAATTAATAAATTAATTTTATGTTGAATATTCAATAAATTGTTCAATTAGAACGTGTAATTAATAAGATTTAATTACCTTTGAAGGCGACAAATGAAATTATTACTAGTGTTCCAGAGGCTACCCAAGAAGAATTAAAAGCCTCAGTAGAATCAGCAGCTGAAGCTTTTAAAGCATGGAAGAATTCATCAATACTTACAAGACAACGCGTCATGTTAGATCTTCAATTTTTAATTCGAGAGCATACCGACGAAATTGCTAAGTCAATTACTGAAGAACAAGGAAAAACATTTTCTGATGCAAAAGGGGATGTGTTAAGAGGACAACAAATAGTTGAGAATGCTTGCGGTATAACTAACTTATTGTTAGGTGAAATTTTAGAAGTTTCAACGGATATGGATACTTTTACCATTCGTGAACCTTTAGGTGTAACTGCTGGAATATGTCCTTTTAATTTTCCTGCCATGATTCCATTGTGGATGTTTCCTTTATCAATTGTTTGTGGAAATACAATGGTAATTAAACCATCAGAACGTGATCCTGGTGCTATGATAATTCTTGCTAAACTAGCAAAACTAGCTGGCGTTCCCGACGGTGTTCTCAACGTTGTTCATGGCTCAACTGACGTAGTAAATTTCCTTTGTGACAATAAACATATTAAAGCAATTTCTTTTGTTGGAAGCAATAAAGGTAAAAAAAATTTTCGCAACATTTATAAAATTTATTTGGTAAAAATTTATTATAATTTCAGCTGGCGAACATATACATCGACGTGGAACCTCCAATGGAAAAAGAGTTCAAGTTTGTTGACTTTAATTATTCTCGTGATTTTTCATGAAAAAATATTATTTATATATATGTATATGTGTTGTGGTATTTTTATAAAATAGGCAAATTTGGGTGCAAAAAATCATGGTGTAATTATGCCCGATGCGAATAAGGTTTGATTATCTTTTACAATAAACTAGGATAAAGCATATCGATATTACTAACACTTTTACTATTTGTAATTGTAGAATCATGCTCTTAATCAACTTACAGGAGCAGCCTTCGGTGGAAGTGGTATGCGCTGCATGGCTTTGTCTACCATGGTATTTGTTGGTAAATCAAAAGAATGGTTGCCAGAACTTGTTGAACGAGCAAGAAAACTAAAAGTTTCAGGTGGATTCGAGCCAGATGTTGATCTTGGACCATTAATAACGCGTCAAGCAAAGGAACGAGTTGAAAAATTAATACAGTCAGGGGTTGATCAAGGCGCTGAATTGTTATTAGATGGCCGTAATCCTACTGTACAAGAAAAATATAAGAACGGAAATTTTATTGGTAATTGTATCGTATTTATATCTTTTTGATTTATTTATTATGTTTATAAACCTTTTATTATATAAATTTTTGTTTAATATTCAAGGACCCACAATTTTAACCAATGTTAAACCTGACATGGATTGTTATAAAGTAATTTAATCAATTTTAATATTTTTTATTCTAGTGAGTCATCAATTAATTATTAATATATAATTATAAGGAAGAAATATTTGGGCCGGTTCTAGTATGTTTAAATACTGACACTCTTGATGAAGCTATTGAATTAATCAATAAAAACCCTTATGGGAATGGTACAGCAATATTTACCAATAGTGGTAGTAATGCACGATATTTTACTTCTAATATTGAAGTTGGACAAGTTGGTGGTATGTTTAAAAAAAGGGGATTTCTAGAAAGTAGATAAATTTATGTATAATAATAATAATTATTATTATTATTTCACTGTTTTCAATAGTCAATGTTCCGATTCCTGTTCCTTTACCAATGTTTTCTTTTACAGGCAACAAAGCATCAATTCAAGGAGATATGAATTTTTGTAAGTTTATATATATAACTTGAAACATTATAATTTGTAATTGGTTAAAATTTTTCTAATATTTTATATTGGTCATTAATTAGATGGTAAATCTGGATTACAATTTTATACACAAACTAAAACTGTAACTTCTTTATGGAGACATGATGATGTTAATCATTCACATTCATCTGCTGCTATGGTAAGAAAAAATCAAATTAAATTAAATCAATAAAAATGTTTACTTATTTAATTCTCATTTTTTTTAAAAAGCCAACAATACAATAAATAAGCTTGTGCATAACTAGCATTTAGAGGATTAGTTGCAAGACACAAAATTAAAGCTCTATTTATTTTGTTATATAGGATAGTGAGTCAAATTTATCACATCTTTTTTTTAAAGCATGTTGATCTCTTATGATTACTTTTTAATAAGATTATTTGGAAATATACAAGGACCAAATACCTACAAGTATTTGCATTTATTTTTTAAAATTCCCCCGATTGTCAATATATATATATATATCCAGTAAAAATCAGTTATTTGACTATTTCTAGAGTATATTTTTGTTGTGCCATATATATAATGATGGTAGACAAAGCCTATGGATTGATTGATGAGAGGGAGGGTTCAGATTTTTCCAAACTAATTCCAGACAAGGTAAGATAGTAATAGGTTTATAATTTTTAACTCATTTTCTAGGATAAACATTTTTTTTTTTACCCTACAAAAATCATAATTCTCCCTTTAAACCAATCCAAAATTTGATTTACCCCAAAAAAACGTAACCCGCTTAATAAAAATTTGAGATATTTTCATATTAATATGTCTATATGTAAGTTGTAAAATTTCGGAATGATCTTCCATTGTGATTTCCTAAAAAGCCGATGATCGGCCTAAAATTTTTTCGTGATACAGAAAAGAAATCTGGTTACTTTCAAATTAATTGCTTATAGTAACAATTGTTCAGCTTCAAAATATTAAAACAAAAAATTTTTATATCATTTCAAAAGAATTAACCAATAAGTTTTATTGTTCATGACTCAAGCTTCAAAACTTATTAGCTAGTTTTTCCTTAAACTAAAAATTGGAGGAGCCTTAGCATTTTGAAAATTCCAAATTTTGTTATATGTTTACTAAGTAAATTTTGTGTAACAAAATTTTTTCATATGGGGCATGCTGCAACAAAACCAGACAAAGTGAACATTGGCAATTTCAGGGATCAATAGTGTTAGTTTAACATCACAATTGTATTACAGTTGCACCTATCTATTTGCATACTGTATATTTGCATAATCTGTTCATTTGGATAAAGGTAGCTCAGTCCCATATCAGGGCTTATGAACTATTTGCATAACATAAATGTGCATATGCAACCTGTTTCTACTAGGTCCCACTAACATAAATATGCATATTCATACTATAAAAGGAGAGATCAATGACAATAATTTTATTTTTTATTCAAAAAAATCTTTAATATTGCTTTGTTTCATAGAATCAGAATAAATCTTTTTTGTGTGTTCAAGATCAGGATATTTCACATTACAAGATTTTTTCTGTAGTGGGATTTGTTTCATTATTTAAAAATTCAGATGATCAATTTAATGTTCTGGAAGTTGTTGCTAGATCAATTTTTACTCCAAATTCTTGTTCACACCAATTAATCAATTCTTTTTGGGTCATTCTTGGACCATTTTGCTTTTTTAAACAAGTTTATGATGCTGTTTGTTGTTTAATTTAGCTTTCTTCATTATGGATATAAAGGATAACAAAATAATATATAATGTTTGTGTAAAATCGGGTAAAAATCAAAAATGATTTTAATGAATCATGAATGACGCGAAGCAATTTTTACATAATATGTCATGTGACAGTTAATTCATCAGTCACATGATAACGCGAATATGCACTTACATTGGATCATCCCATCATTTGATCCAAACAACCTTTTTTGGCCCATTCAAAGATTTGGGAAGTTGAACAAATGCCAACCACACAAACTCTAACCACCACTTTATTTTTTTAAAGATCATCCCATCATTTTCACAAATCAACCTTGTCTTGTGTTATATATAACACACAATATACAAATCATATGTAATACTCTGTCTATTTGCATAAAGATTCATTTGTCCCACCAGCATGCAAATAAACAGGCGTGACTGTACAATGTAATATGATCATGATATTTGTTTTATCTCTAAATAAAAATAGTTAATATGAAGTTAATTTACATTAGGTCTACCATGGAACCTAAGAATTATTGTACCATCAGAAGTATTTTAAAAAAAGAACAAGGAGAAAAGATTGCATCTTATATTTTTAAATTAGCAAATACCAAATCTTTGCAAACATATTTAGACAAAGAAAGGATTACCTATGAAATTTATCAAGAGGAAAGAGTTTTCAAA